AGAATTTAATTAAACAGAAACCGGTAAACTCATCAGTACGTTACAGTTAGTACAATTAATTACTTTCAAGGTGGTGCAAATCATGAGAAAAGAAACAGGTTTTGCACAGGTTCTGTGTGGTTCCCTGAAAACTCAAGAACTGACTCAGAAAGCACCATGAGAGCATCTGCTCAGTGCCTAGCAACAGTTTGGAAAGCTGAGAAAATGCTTAGTCACATTCATACAACAGGATGCGGAAGGAGGACACGGAATTTAAAATTCGCCTCTCCAGTACAACACTGAATTTGGTTAACTTCCTTAAAAGGAACCTTTCAGAGGAAAGCAGCAATGATAAAAGGATACAAGCAGCATATGAAAGATGTATTTTCTGATGACTCTCGTGCAAGACCCTTTCTCCTTATCAGTGCAGTAAGTCTACCCGAGACCACATCTTCCTTTCCTGGGACCCTGCCTTTCCCACAGCTGTGTGGGCATGAATCTTTGTATCCAGTGAGGCAGAGAAGTGCAGTTCCCACTGAAAGCTCCTGTATTTGTCCTAGGAGGGACAGAGATGAGGTAAGTACGGTAAAAGGACACAGTTTTCTCTAAGAAGAACTGTATTCTCTCTCTTATGGGTGTGTTCCAGAAAAAAGTAAAATTCCCTGGAGGCATACAACTCTCCAAGTGAGCTTTAGGTGAAGACATTAGGGTCCCCTAGCACTCTTTCATTATGATGAAGAACAGGGGGCAAGAGTGGGAACAGAAAGGCTCAACATCACCCAAGCAACTTCAAAGAACTTCAGGTCTGCTACTCAGCACCACAGTCCATGAGAAGACTACAAGTAAAATAACACAGGAGATGCTTCATGACAGTATAGGATTCTCACTGCCAAGCTGCCTCCTTATCCTATCTTTTATGACTGTAGGCACCACTCACAAACTTCCAACTCGATGGATTACATCCTAAACGAGGTCAGAAGCAGCACGGAACAATTAGTGATATTAGTCTGGCGCTGCCCTCTGACTGATCCATTAATCTTAAAAGCAGGGGTGACAACAATATTGAAAAACAGCACACATTTCACAGGAAAATCCCTCCTGTACGTAATCAAATTCTGAGATCCACTAATAAGAGATATTACTAAACTAAATAGTTAAGCAAAATTATAAAGAAGACTTGATATTTACATCAGTTGAAATAGCAAACATAGTTGTATTTCCCAGATTAGAGTCACGAGGACACTAATTCTCATCCCTAAAAAGAGAAGCGGATTGCCAGCTGGGATTATGAAAGAATTCCCTCTCTTTCCTTTGTCTCATAGGCTACCACAGTACATCTGGTGGGTGCTGATTATCTTCCTATAAAACATGGTAAGAAAGAATAACTGAATTTATTATCATTGGAGAAGCCAAATCGGTTGGGTCAATGATCTGCCATTATGGTATGACAACTCTTCTGAACAGTCCAACACTTCAAACAATGGATAGAATAATCATAAATGCTTATATGTGCTATTCTTTCCCCTCCTCTCACCCTCACCTAGAAGAGTTCAAAAGGTAAAAGTCACGTCTTCATTTTCATGGATTCTTTACTGCACCAGCTACAGACAGTCTGGATACATTTTTCTGGCAGAAACATTGCAAAAATCTATTCTAGGTCAACGATTTCCACTGTCAGGATCATTCAAAGTGTTCAGAAGGCTCAAGGAGAAAAATGAATCGCTAAGTATTGGTATTATGCAAGCTCCCTGAAGAGGTACTGACTGCACTTATTGCAAAGAATTAAGAAGTAGCTTTAATGTCATTCTGTTCATGAATGTCCTTTCTTTGCAACTGATCTCACGTAATAAACCCTGCTACAAAAACTAGCATGCACTGTGACTAGATTAAGGACAAAACTATTGTGTATATGTAATGCTGTGGGTTATAAACATGAAGTAACGCCAGTGAAATGCACACAGATCTGTGTGTGTACAGGACACCAGGCAGAAGAGAGGTACACACAGTTCATGCTGTGATCACAAAGATAACTATGCTTATTAAACCAGTTCTATAAAATCCATTAAAGTGACAGTATGAAATAGCAGACATGCCAGTAAGTATGTATGTGATTCCTCCCATGAAAGAAGGATTCATAAAGTTGCCTTGCCTTGAATTAGGCGGGGTGTGCGATTGTACGTTGCCTGCACACTTGTAGTTCAGCTCGGACTCGCCGCAGGAATGACAGAAGGTATTTGCATAGCAACAACCTCTTCCACCGCTCCTGCCTCCCGCGGTGACGGGGATCATCGATGGCAGCTGCCACGGGAACGGTGCACTCAAAGGTCAGTAGCACCGCTCCCTGCACGGCCAACAGGCAAGAGCTGACGGCACGCGAGGGATTTTGCCCCAGAAGATCCTCTTATGTTGTCCCTAAGGTTCTGGAGCAGTTCAGGTGCAGAGGTGAGCACTGTCTGCCAAAGAAGGTGGAGACGAGGGATTTCTCCATCCCAGCTCTAACACAGGGGTAAGTGGGAAAGAGGATCTGTCCACAAAACACGCAGCAGGCAGGGCTCTTTTGTCATACAGCAAAAGAAAACCAGTCAGCAAGATAACAATACGTCTTTCTTTTTTTTTTTTTTAATATCTAAATTCATCAGTATTAGCTCTCGCTCGCTTTACAAGCAAATGTTTAAATCCACACTGAAGCCAAAACGTCAAGCATCCTGAAATCTCTACCTCCAAAACACAGCTTTCTGGAACCATTTTTGATTCTGAGTAGCTAAAACCAATACAGTTCATCAGTGCCAGGAGAGCATCAGACAACTCAACGGTCCACGACCTGACCAGGAGCCAGGTAAGAGCCTGTGCCACATGATGCTTAACCATCTTGTCAAGTCTTGCTCCCAGCCCACCACAAACCAAGAAAAAAAATAATGCATTTCTCAGCTGGCCTGCATAAAGCAGAAGGGTAGTCTTCCTGAGTTTTTTTTCCATGAAGTTTTAAATGAAACAAAAAATATGGGGAGTTCCACCAAATTCGACCCATTCCTTTCCTCTAATCAGACATACACATTAGTAAGATGCTGCTAACCACATAGTATGCCACTGTGTATATAGATTCTAATATATCTGTTTTATTTAATACTATCTTAATATTATTTTATATCGTCATTTATATTACATTTTAATTTTTGTTTTAATTTCATATTATGAGTTTTTTTAATCCAGTTGTGACATTAATGCACTGGGTCATTACTGCTCTGAAAACTCAGTATCTGAAGCTTACTTACGAGGAAAAATACAGAAGGTCACATATCTCTCCTTGATAAACGAGACTTGTCAGAAACCAATGATCCCATTGCCCAGGATACATAGTACACTTGACAATGTGAACTCAACAACAAGGAAGAAATACTTTTTACAGTTCACTATTTTGTGACAAAACAGTCTAGATTCCCATCGGTCTGACTGTAGTTTACTTCCCAGGAGAAGATTCTGGGAGCACTCTGTGAAAATTGTCTTATGTTTCTTCCTTTCTCCAAACAGATTACTTTTCCATGGAGACAAGTATTCTATTCTGTAACTTGTGAAATAATAATTACACAAACTAAGCTGATTTTAAATGTATATAATACATATGTTTTATGTGAGCGCTTTCTTCTTTTTTTTTTTAGTTAAAAAAAATATACATAGCATTTGTTTTGTGTACCGAAACACAGGAAGACATTATTCTCTGTCATAAGGATTTTATGTTTGAAGGTCCCAACTCTGCAGAAAACCTAATAAAGTATATACTCATTTTTATAGTTAACTCAGTAGGAACACTCACAGTATGTGTGAGTCTTTGCAGAAGTAGTACTGATGTAACTAAAACTGTAAATGTTACACAAAAATACATTCACCTGTAATTACACTGCGATTTCTAGTAACTTTTTTCCTAAATAACCTCTTTCAAATACCACCTTGATCAAGCACGCCCAAGATTCTTTGCAGAATCCACATCCCAACATTATTCCTTAATGTTGTGTGGGAACAGCTATGGAATTATAGCGGAAACGTGCACGCCAGCATACAGCACCACCATCTGAGGGGGACTGCATATAATACCCCTAATAGTTTACTCATGGTTCAAAAAAAGTCAGCCCTGAACTCATTATTTAAAGAATTCAGCCATATTCCCTAGAGAGGATTTTGAGAGAGAACCAAAGGGCAACTACAGAATGGCTGTTGCTTTTGGATTTATTTTGTAGAGTTAAATCTTTACTGAAATTAATAAGCTTTTAAACAGAAAAGCTATGTGACTCTATACGTTTTTAAATGGCAAAACAGTTCATTTCTAGGGAAACACTATTCTTACTAATTTACAAACATTTTACAGCCTTCTTCAGAATTTCACTTGCAGTATATGTTACATTTTCTAGCATATTCATTGTTTTATGGATTTTTACAGGGATGCTTTTCAATGAACCACAGCAAAGGAACAGAGAGAAACCCAGAGATGGCGCAGGGTCTCAGGTAGCTCAATGAATTAATACTGGGATTAATTATTAAGTTACTCTCCTCAATTTGGTAGCTGTTAACACTACTGCATCCAGTACTCTCTTCTCCTCTGTGCTGAGGTAGCATCTGCAAGCACCAGGGTGCTCACCACGCTCCTCCTCCAACCCTGGGGCAGTAACGTGGCCAGTCTCCCCAGTGGAGTAGCAGGGAGGAGATCAGTGGCAGCAGAGTTTCCATCTGACCAACACCCATGACCTTTGTCATTCCAGCAAATACAAACAGTCTGACGTCCATGGAGATCTAGACCAGTGAAGAGTCATCTTCTATTTCAGCTTGTTCCAGTGGTCATATTTTAAAAATCTAAGCCAAAACAAAAATCTGTAATACCATAGCTCATCCCTGTCCTGAGATAAAAGCAGAGAAGGCACAAAGAGGCCAAAAAACTCTGATGCCACCTGGACATACTAACAATCCTGTGAAAGAAGCCGGGTATTCTCAAGTATTCAATCACATTTTTTTTTTCCTTCTAAAATACTCACCTGACTTTCCCTTTGGTGTTTCTAAGAACAGTTGCAGCAAAATTCTGCGTAACACCAACCAGACTGATGCCATCAACTTCCACAATTTGGTCATTCACTTGGATCCTTTCAGGGGAAAACCACAAATATATACATAATTGTGTGAAATCTTGAGTGAATTTTCAGCAAAACTTAGCATACAGGTATCTTTTTAGTTTGATTTTAAACGAAGACTGTAAAGAAAAACTCAGTCATAAAATGATTGAGGTAAATATGAAAAATACATCATTCTTTGCACACAGACATCTCATAAATCCACTTCAAAGTTACCATTACAATTAATAGCATCAATCATCCAGTCACTTTCCTTGTATATAAATACAGCAACACAAACTCTTAAATTTGTCATATGACTTAAATTAAATGAGATACTTGGACAGCTCTTGTATCATTCTTTCCTAAGCCTAAAAACAGCATAAGACATAGCTCTGGTATTTCATGCTAATGGAAAAAAAATGTGCTATTTAACTAAAACAACCTGCTCATCTGTGGAGAAAAGAGTTTGTACATCAGTCTTAATTGTGACCTACTCTCTTAAAATATTTTGTCTAATTTGTTCCAAAAAGATGAATTCCCAGTGTAAGCGTGATCTTGCTGCACACAGTAAGATGACCATGGACTGTTTTAATGAGGACTCTCTCTTTGAAACCAAACACCTATTCACAGTTGACACATTATTTGATGCAGGAAGTTAGGCAGAATAAAAACCATGCTGCTTTTATCTGAAGCAAGCGCTGCTACAAAATCCCTAGAGCAGGTATTGGACTCATCTGTATTACACATTCTTGGAAGGAGGACTGCTATATTAAAACATCCTACAGAAATCCACAAAGTCCTACAGTTTCAAAAATTTAAGAAAACACAACACATTCAGAACTACTGAAAGGGAGCAATTTTCAAGTACTTACATGGATGCTACTGATCCAAATGATACAGTTTACAAAGGAACCAAGAAAGAACTACGAAAAAATCCCATTAAAATTGTAAGAAAATACCTAAATTAAGCTATTGAATATCTTAGAATATCTTAGTGATAAGACTTGTTCTTAAAGAACAACAGAGGCTTCAAAAGAGGGCTGAGGCATTTTGACTTGGAGCACTAATTTCTCTGTCACGTCTGGGGCAATGCGTTGCAGTTCTACATGTGTCCAAGCAGTATCTTCAGTTCTTAGGACTCCAGTAATGAGTAAGAAACTACAAAATTTATTCTTTGGCAGCCTCACACCACAGAATGTCACTGTGTTCTGAGCAGGATCTCCCTTCTGTATACAAGAAACCTTGAAAAAATGATGTTTGTGACAGCCTATAAACTCTTATCTTGAAAATCATAGCAGACATTTTAATCACAGAATTCTATGTTGGTTTTCACTGAAGCATTTAATAAATACACCAATCACATTAATATCAATTGTATCTTGATACTGTAAAAAACAATTTTTTTTTTTAACTGTAGCAAATATGAGGTGCTGCAAGACTTCCAAGCAAGGAAGTCTAAGAAATTCGTGCCTGCTGAGTGGGAACCCTCTTGGCTGAAAACTTTACTATGCAGTGGACTAGCAGTGTTCATACAGATGCAGTTACGGTATTTCAGGTGATGAAATGTCACGTTAGAGAACTGTTGCCTGCAACTTCATAAGTGGCTCTATCTTGATCTACTGCAATTCAGTCTGATTCCATTCATCCTTCAGGCATATTTTGTTTCTCCTTCTTTATTGTTTGTACAGCTCCTACATTCATTTTCAACTCCTATTTTTATGGCCATTGTTCTCCAAACCTGCCCTCTTTCTATACATACATATATTTTAATTATATATAAACAAACATACAAATCAAACAACATACAACTAACATAATTGTTATTCAAATTATATAACTACACGTAATCAAAAAAGAAGTTTCCTGTCTGTTGCCGTGTACATTCTATACTGCCCGGAGTGAAATACTCTCAGAGACATATTCTCTTGTCTTCCTCTTCCTTGGACATGCTCTCTCCAGCCCCACTCCCACCGCAGCTCTGTACCTGTAGCCTAGTCCTAACTCCCCAGACAAGCCAGCCCAGGCATCATCTACACCAAAATATTCTCACAGCCATGTTTGCTGGGCAGCCTTCCCTTTAGATCCCCTCCATTAGGAGCTCCAGGGCTTCCTCTGTTGCTCAAATCTAATTTCAAACATGAACGAAAAATTAGGCTCTGGTTGACAAAGCCTGAATTACAGAGGTTTAATGGCTTTTATCATTAATGAAATTAGTAATTTTTGGACAATTTTTAAGAATTAAAAAATTTTAAAAATTAAAATTTTGACAATTTGACTTTTGAAAATTATTTTTTAATGGTCATGACTTAAAACTTTGCCTATGTGAAGCAGCACTTCAATGAAGTAGCAACTACACAAGTGAAGCAACTAGAGTTGAACAAATTCCTTGCATAATTACTGCTCTGTGTGATCAAATGAAAAATTTAACCTGTACAGAGCCATTTAGAGTATTTTTCAACAACTGTGTAATGTTTCAAAACTGTTGTTCTCAATGTTACCAAAATACTTTACAATGTGAATGATTCATAACCACAATAGTTTGAAAGAAGCAGCTATGAACTAATCTCAGAAAAGATTTTATTCTTCATATGCAGTCTGATTTCATATTTTACACACTATTAATAATCTTTCTTATTACTTATCAACATGCTTGCCTTTGGATCCATCCTGAAGCACTCCTCTTGGAGTTAATACTGCCACACAACGCCTTTTGATATGACAACTGAACACTACCTGTTTGTTTGCATCAACATGAATCAAGCCAGCCGTGCTCAATCACTGAGAAACTCCTTTGTACAGATTTTGAATTTCCATGGGAGGCAAGTATTTTATATCATGATTCAATGGGTCTTTCAATAAAAGATGGGAGTTATCCTACAGATACTGTAATGTTTTAAATTGTAGTTTCAGAAAAGCCTGCTTGAAGACTGCTATGTGGTTATTCAGAACATCTGATGCAACTGTGGAAATACAATTTTATTTTCTGTTAGAAGACTTTTGTTTTGCTATCAGTGTTAATGATTAACAAGGCTTTTGACAAAGATGAAGTTAACAGGACCCTTTACAGTTGATGCACTTTATTACAGAACCAACTGCTCCTGACTGAGAGGATTACAATACCCTTTTCCTAAGTGAATGATCAGTCAGGCTCTCAAAGAGAAAATCAGAGGGCTATTTCTCATCTGACTGAACATTCAGCCAGTTGAAAACCAACACAAATATTAGAATGGTCAAAGAAAGGTATTATTTTTTTCTCAGCTGACAAGCCCCTTTCAGATGCCATCTAGGGAAATAAAAGAAGATACTTGTGATTGAACATTAACTTCCGTAGCCCATTCAAATAGGTGAATAATGAGAGGAACAGAAAATACAGATCGTCACAGAGCAGTAGTATGTGACTGATTTTCAACCAGAGAATTTCACACAGAATGCCAGTTGTGAGCTTAGTGCCTTAAGGCTGAGCTCAAGCGTAACTTTCAGAAAAACGTTCACCTAAATTTAAAGTAATAGATGAAGTCATGACATCTTGAGGTGTCAGCTTCTTCACTCCCTTTCATGATTTTTAGGCCTATGATAAATCAGTAGTTGGCCTTCAACCTGTTATCTTATTGCCAAGATCTGTAAAGATACCTGCAAGCCCCATCTGGAAGACAGTATACTTCAGTAGTTTCAGAGCAATGTTATTAAACTTTGTAACCCCCTGCCATGTAGAGCCTTCCGATTTAGTTTTTGTGTGGTTTCCACAGCTGAACCACCTTTTGCCTAGCTGAAAAGTTATAGGCGTTCATCAATAAGGAACATGTTATTGCAATACGCTTTTTAGAAGACAGTATTTTAAAGTTTATTCTTATTCTATTTACCTGTGTTTGTGTTTGGTATTACTTATAACTAATATAACAAATCACTAATGGTTAAAAATAGAAGTAGACTCAATTGCTAATGCATCAAGTAAGTAATATTTTATTTGCATGCAAATTTACAAAGGATATGCACTGGGACAAAACAACAAATTATATGGGTTGGAAGACGTTTAAGAATACTTTTTATTATTAAATAATTACATAGTGAAGTGTTTTTCTAACTTTTAATGAGAAACATTGGTCTGACTCTGGCAGGTATTGTGTAATGCACAGATAACTCTGTCCCGTATGATGGGAAATACTGGATGTTCAAAAGGAATTCTTTAACCTGCACATACCAAGTAAGCAGCTCTAGAAGCAACCAGGTTTTATATGAACATTGTATAAGACTACAAACACCAATTCATTTCTTTAGTGGGCAAGATTTATGGCACAGCTTCCCATTCCAACTAATTAACGTACTTTCAGTGCTGTAGAGGTGAAAACTGAACTCTGGAGCAGAAGACCATGCATAATAAGAAAAACAAAGTAACAGCCTGTGTTGGTAAACTTGAAAGTAGGTGTATTTAATAAGAGTTTAAGCATTCAGATACACTAATTATTTTCCTAATCAAATATTGAGCAGAACTCTTTCATAACTACTGATTGTTTAAAGCTGGTTTGAAGGCAAAAGAACACGTGGGAGCTCAACACCTTTAAAATCTAAACTGCCTTCAAAAGTGATACACAATCTGGAATCTCCAGCTTTACTTGGGCTAAAGCATCTGGGTTTTCAGGTAGTCATGAACACACATCTTTGGCAAATCTGTTCTCCTTAAGCTGTTTAAACTCAGTACACCAAACTGGTGTCTTCTCATAACCATATCAGGTATTTGGACCTTACCAAGGAAGTCCCCAAATTTTACAACTTTGAGTTCTCATTACATACATTCAGCAAACAACTCCTTCCTCTGAAAATCATAATTCATAGCAACTACTGCTGAGAAAATTTCCAAATACTGAGTCTAGTTTACCTGCCATCTCTTTCTGCTGCCCCACCTTCTGTTACTGTTTTGACAAATATTCCCAGTTTTTCAAGGCCTGCATCTGCTCCGACTCCCATTCCAATAATGCTTATGCCAAGTCCATCTTCATCTGTGAAAAAGGAAAGCAAAAGCAAAAACTTCTTACATTTGATTTATATAGTTATTTGGTAGATAACATTTATGCTTTCATTCCTCTTGGTTTTCCATGTCAGTAACATTAATACCCCTTTGCTTCCTCTTAAAAACTTTATTATTCTACCATTTTAATTACACACAAAAAATATCACCTTCACCCTTATATCATCTTCACCCTTATAAGGAGCTCAGAACAACAATCAATATTTTTACTCTTCCAGTGGAGAATGAAAACATTGCATCAAACACTGTGTGAAATCATATGTTAATGGAGTGACACAAAACAACTCCCTTAGAGAAAGGAAGAACTGCATGCCTCTCAACGGCTTCTTTAATTCTGTATCAAACAATTCTTGAAATCCAAAAGGCCAAGGTGAATACAACAGATTCATGGAAACTCAAGATAGGCTCTAGTACACATGTGTAGACTTCCTCAGACTTGTAGACCAGTGTCACAGGAACTGGAAATGGCACACAGACTCCATACCTTTTTCTAGTTCAACTGGGAAGAGCTCCAGCTTTTCCACACGCTTCTCGAGTTCATATTCAGCTGATGCAGCCACTGGGTCAACTTCATCATTTCTCCTGTCATAGTCTTCATTGGAATATGTATTGAAAACCTGTGGAAACAGACCAAAAATCAATCAATTACCTACTCCAAAAAGACTTCCAATTTATGAAAATAGCTGCTGCTTTTGTCCTGTGATGTTGCAGAGTTTGAAAAGGCTTTCAAAAGACAAATTTCTCTCGTTCACTCTAACTTCGGGTTTTTAAATTTGTGCTCTTTCATTCAAGTAAAGCATGTGCGTGCTTGCAAAAGTCAGTTGAGTATAAATGATTTATTTTCATTGTTTGTCATTATAAATGCAGAAGGTGATCTTGAATGAGTAAGTTGGCCTATACATGTCAATATTTAAAATACTTAATTCAACTCATTAAGAATGCCCTACTAGTAAAGATTCACAGACAGGAAAAAGCAAAAAACATTGAAATGATGATCTGCATACAGTCTCTGTTTCAGTCTTTTCTCCTAACGAAGTTCCAGTTTGCATTCATCTAAGCAAAGCTAGACCTGAAGATTACTGATCTACATTTACACCCCCGTATGGATACCATTAGAGGTTATGCTCCATACTATGTATTAACTTTTTAGCTGAGCAATATACACAGCCATGGGTACTTTTTAAACTAACCAGGTTTACAGGTCTATTCCAGCTCTAAAGCAGTAATTTAACGCTGCATCAATCTGATTATATTATTGATGCTACTTTCTATCATACTTTCAACATAAACATGGCCTTCAATCAGAGATTATACAGACCTTCAGGAAAAGCGTATTTTCGTATTTTAGAGGTCAGAGTTTGGCAGCCTAATTCACTTAACTCTCCACATTTGGCAGTAATGAAAGACTACACATTATTAGTGGTAATAATTTTACTGAACTTCAGTCCCACGCATATATCATGTTCATTGCTTCAAATAAAGGAAAACAATTTCCCATATCTTCTCTACCTCTTTTACAGACACCCTACAGAAGATACAATTATGTACCCATGTTTTTCTATATCACTGTTTCTCTTTCAACATAAAACACCGCAGCATGGTATTTATGTAGCTGTATGTACTCTCAGGTCTGAAGAAGCCTACTCTCCTTACAGCCTTGCTTGGAGGCTCCTGAACGACTGCCCCTGGGGCAAGCATGCCAGCTTGCTGCCCAGTGCAATGCCAGGAGCTGGGCTCACTTGCACCTGCTCAAAAAGTTGTTAGTGCAGATTGATTTCTTTTAAGTAGTAAATATATTACAATTGCAATACAAAAATACTATTCAATACTATCATAAGTATAGTAACTGTGTTATGGCTACTGCAAAGCTACTGCAAAAAACCTCCCAGCTTTACATAAAGTAGTGGTTGAAACAGTAAAGATGTTAGTCACTCTACGGAAATTTTAACTCTGGTATTTTACATCAATATGAAACACTTAATAGCCTCTTCCAAGAAGACTGAGATGATAAATGTTTTACATGGATCCACAAACCTCTCTCACATTGATTTTTAGTGATATTGATGCAAGAAAAAGGCTATTTTAATTAAATCATCTTCCTAAGAAGCCTTCATAAATATATCCAAAAGCTAGGTAAAATAAGTCACATACCAAATGCTGTCCAATGCCGCTGAACATGTTATGCTGCTTTAGTATGTATAAAATAGGAGAAAAGACACTGATGCAGAAATAAGCATAAGGAAATGTAACAATTTACTTGGTCTAAAATAACCTGCAAAATCTATGTGCAAGTTCTGGCCACACAACACACAAATGGAGAAACTGTGCAAACAGTGATTACCTTCAACTCCTTCCCTAAGCTTCTGTTTGTGGATGCAATAACTGCATCTGCATCGGGTAATTTTTAAAGTCCTTAAAGGATGTATTAATTTCTGCTCCTGCTGTTAACCTCATCGGGTGTTTGAACTCCCAGTTAAAATGGAAAACAAAACGGAGGGTGTCCATACCTGCTTAACAGCCTGACAGAGGAGGTCTGAAAAGTCTTTTGTTACTCCACGTCTTTCACAGACCTCTTTTACAAAAGATAAAGCCTTCTTCATGTAACGTACCCCTGCCTGCTGCTTCTCTGTGGGTCTCAACGCTTGAAGACAGGAAGCAGGAAGAATCATGAACACGGTTTTCTATGTAGGCCACATCAAGCTAGAAAACAACCTGTAGATGTAATGATGCTAGCCTGTGTGTAGTGAAAAAGAAGCAGGTAGGGGTCAGATTTATCTTTTGCTTGTGTGATGCACGACTCAAGACAAACATCTCCACCCTGACACAAGAATAGATCAAACCAGTCAGAAGAGCCCATTCAACAGCAACAAAAAGCCCTGCCGCAGGCCGGCAACTAAGCTCCCCTGGCAGCTAACCTTCTCTCTGTTGTCAAAGACTACTATTCCCACTAAGGGCTCAAACCCCAACCTCATTCATGATGACATCAACCAACATAAGATCAATCAGCGGAGCTAGACCCAATTAAAATATTAGCGAGCTAAGGTTAGACCACAAATCTTTAGGTCTAAAATGCAGCAGGCATGCAAGCAAGTACAGGTTAAAACAACAGCTATGAGTTTAGCTTGGAATGGCTCATTTTGATAAATTATGAGACACCTGTGTTTCAAATGTGGAAGAGAGATGGATGTTATCAAGGAAAATGGAGATACAATCACTAGCTGTTGAAGGATGACGAGAAAGGCAGGTAAGTATTGCTTGCTGAAGACAAAGATTAGATGAGGGTGAGGTACAGGGAAAAATTACATCACAAAATGAGTATATTTACTTCAGAATTCCTTTTCATCATGTTAACTGGCCCCATTCTTTTCCTTTTGTTCAATGATTGGCATTAGTATATTGTGGCAGCAGTTTCAGATTTGTTTTGAAGTGACTGAATACACTGCAGGACAATTTTCTTTCAAAGCATCAAATCATACACTGACTTCTTGTTTGGGATGATCTTTCATGAACCAGATTAGACAGAAGAGACAGCTTCTGGGATCTTGCTCACGGTTTTGGAATATTTAGGTTTGCACATGAGAAGGGAACTAAAGATACAGTTGGCGGTGAATACAGTTATCATTACATCTCCAAATACATGACGCCACTCTTACCTAGTATCTTACCTAAGCGTGCAATCTGAGATTGTAGGATCACTGATAGCATCAAGATAAAATAGTGTTTGTTTCCTGCCTGACATTAACTCACCATGTTTTGTACACTGGTCATATGATCTTGCCCACTGCCTTCAACATGTGTTTTGACTAGAGGAAGAAGGAGGATATTCTTGTATGTTATTTCCCTCATTTTGCATGATCACAATTAATGGTTGACTGATTCTGTTAAATGAACCTGGGTGTTAAAATGTAGAAAAGAAAATTTGTGCTTGGAAACTTTATTTCTTTGTGAAACAGTCTATCCACCACAGTAACGAACTGCTTGCTCAGTACACTCATGAGAACTGTCACTCAAGATTTTACTTTGCTAAAAATAAAAGAAACAGTTATAACTTTTCCCTTGAAGTATGCTCAACTTGATTTAAGTAGACCTACTTCACCAAGTCTGTTGCTGCCATTTTTCCTAGACCGTGTGTGGGATTGCTTGCGGGAATTGACTTAGAGGAATTCTGTCATTCCCTGTGATTTCACAGATTTGGTTTCACCCTCACACTGGCCAAGTACCCACTACAATGAAGTCTCCTAAGCCATTACTTAAAAAAAAAAAGCTCTGTTTCAGGAAAATACAGTACATCATCTGGTTTTATCTCTCCATCAGAAAGAAATAAGTTTCCATGGAATTCACCTATGACACTTATAAGGATTTACAACAGCACTCATAATCCAGCAACAGAGGAAATGAAAAGCCACCAACAGTGGTGACAACCCAATGGATACCAGAGCTCAATGTGTACATCAAAACAAACAAAACCCAAAGGACTGATGGGCTCACTCCAACGCTGCTGTTAACAGAACATAATTCTGTCTTCTCTAAAGTGAAAGAAAAAGGGTCATCAGTCATTTATATAGCATCAAAATAATGACAAACTGCATGATCAAAGAAGCAGGTATTATTGCTAGGCATCCTGGACGGCACACCCAGGGACACCATAAATACACACACGACTGCTTGCTTCTCTTTCAGAGAGCACTGACAGAGCACAATCTAGAAAAGACACATCACTAAGTATAACAAAATATGTTGCAGAGACTAATACAGAAAAAGCCTCACATTCTGGTTCTAATACTTCTTTTATGAATAAGACCAGAAAAATACAGCAGTAGATGAAAACTGATTGCTCTTGGAAAAAGAAAAAGTTTTGTAAGCTCGGGGCATTTTCTCATAGCTCTCCACTACCAAGAATCTTCACAGAATTTTTCTACAATAACTAGTGGGTAGGGACAACTCTTTTTAAGGGAGTTGGAAGGGAGATGAACTATGAAGAATCACAGAATCATAGAATAGTTTGGAAGGGACCTTTTAAGGTCATCTAGTCCAACGCCCTGCAATAAGCAGGGACATCTGCAACTAGATCAGCTCCTCAGAGCCCCGTCCAACCTGACCTTCAATGGTTCCAGGGATGGGGCATCTACCACCTCTCTGGGCAACCTGTTCCACTGTTTCACCACTGTCATTGTCAAAAATTTCTTCCTTTGATCTAGTCTAAATCTACCTCTTTCAGTTTAAAATTGTTACCCCTCACCCTATCGCAACAGGCCCTGTTAAAAAGTCTGTCCCCATCTTTCTTGTAAGCCCCCTCGAAGTACTGAAAGGCTGCAATAAGGTCTCCCCAGAGCCTTCTCTTCTCCAGGCTGATCAACCACATGGGCTGTCCTCCCCATGGGCTAGCCACCTCAGTGCTACATTAACCATGTTATTAGTGTTGCATACTGTAAACTCTGCAACGTAAGAACTGCCTCATCTGACGTGTTAAGAAAGTCCCAAACATACTGCATATACCCTGGATATGCCTATGCTGTCTTCGAAAGGTGTGCCTAGGAACAAGACCTGATCCCAGGTTCAGCTGCTACTGACTGCCTTGTCATCCATGCTTGTTATCCCTCCAATGACTGGTGCCTGC